TCAGGAAGCTTTTTTAAATGAGTATGAGAGCAGTTTCAGAAACACATGCTTAATCAAAACAGAAGGGAAATTATTTATCTCAAATCTTGTTTCCTGTGCAATCAAAACTAGCCTTCTCATACGTCATAACACTTGGGATGGACTGGAACAATTTTTTCCTAATTGTTATGAAGAATAATATGAAACTCTGAGAGTTTTGGCCAAATCATCCTGACCCCTTCTAATGTCTTGCCCCCTCCTTCTGTATTACCTTGTTCTAATTGTTTATACAGATCACAAAATTGCTAATATCTTAAGAAACTGGGAATGCACGAGAAGATACGATTATCTTTATGGTCTTTGGAGTGGGATTGGAGGGGTTGAAGAAAACTTTTTCAAAAGTAAACTTCTCTAAAGGTATTTAAAAAATACCAATGTATTTTAATATTTCTCTTAAGGCTTAGGAAACTTGTACTTAGAATTCAAACACATTCTTGTACAAACAAGGATTCTGATATGTGAAAAGTTACTTCAGCTTCTGAAATCCTTGTACTGTTTTCTCTCATGTAGATTACTTGTACTCAAGCCAAATTAAGTATTACGTATAGCTGGTATTGGAATTCTTATAGAAGAAAAAAAGGCAGTTCTCAATTAGACAATGCATAGCTTAGCAGCTAGGAGAACATGCACGATGGTTAGGGCTGAAAGTCTTGTTACCCAAAAGCTTATTTTCCCAAGAAGACTTCCTGCCTAGGAAGATTAGCAAATTCTGTCCATGGAACTTGATCTGGTCCTGGTTGTGTGACTTTCTACTACAGGTGTCTACTCGGAATAGGAATTGCAGTAGCAAGGGAAAATAGTATCCTTCCAGTGAGTTCATAAGACAGGTAGCCTGGCTTAGGGAAGGAGGTGAAATGCAGGGCTATGCTAACTTAGCACATCCTAAATATGACTGTGCAAAACTATCTTTTTCCAAGAGCATTAGCAATATTTTGAAGCTCTTGTCCTTGGTAAAATTCCTGTTGAAGAAGAGGAGGGCTTGCCCTGAAAGTATCATTTATTTTTCTCAGATAGGGGTTGAACAGGGGACACTGACATAGGGAAATGGCCTGTGTACTATGAAATAATTACAGCCATTGTGTTTACTGCTTTTAATAAATGAACTTTCCAACAAGCAGTCTATTCTCTTGTTATTTGACTGAGCCTAAATATCTTCAGCTTTACACAATTGTAAATTGGCAAGAATACCAAACATTTTTCAGTTTGATATGAGAACATTTCCTGTAAAACATGTTTGTCTTCCAATTTAAGAGCTTTCTACTTATGGTGATAATCTTCTGAGATCCGTGGAATGTGCTTGTCTTCTGAAACTTTCAGACAATAAAACTACTATATGGATTTAGTGAGGAATAAACTGAAAATAAGTATGTCTTTAATACTTGTTTAGTGTATATATGAGTGGAATTTGTCTAAAATGTAAAAATGAAGACAGTAGCAGGATAAATTTTTTTTTATAACAGAAGTGGAGGTCTTGAACCTGTATTGTAGTGTACAGGTGGACTGTTTCACCTAGGCAATACCCGGTATTGTGAGTTACGTCTATACTGTGGAACACCTGGGAGCACTTTTCAGTTGCTGGGTTCAAAAGCACAGCTATGGTCTCATATTTTTTTTGGGAACCAGTTCTGAATGCTTACCATCTCCCCCCCACAATTTTACCCCTCTTAACACAGCACACACATGCTCTCTTTCTCAAATGTGGCAAGTAAATGACAGATTTCAGCTGCTGCATTCAAAAATAGGTTTTACTGTATTTCTATTGTGTTATTTGGCAGCACAATGGAATTTTTTAATGTCTTGCAGTTCATCCTCAAGCCTTGAGAGTAGATCAGCATAGTAAAAGGCTTTCATCCTTCACTCCCATAAATGAAGATGAGGAGCAGCTCTGTTAATATCAGTTACTGTAGTGAAAAGTTACATAGAAAAATGGAAGTCAAAATGTGTATGTACACAGATTTCCATTTTGTTTCATTGTGAATGATAGGCAAAAGTAGTCTGTTAGAAGAGGCCAAGTATTATGGAGTAGCTGGCTTCTTCAGCTTTGATTTGTACACTGAAATCACAAGATTTAATAAAACATGCATGGCTTCCAGCTGCTTCATGGTAGTTACTAAATGTTTTACCAAATCCTGGAAATGAGCTTATAAATGTTCATCTGAAAAGTCATGCTAGACTATTTCCCAGTGACACTTTCACTGTTTGGGTTTTTTGCGGGGTCCCATCCCCCCACCCCCTCCCCGGAATGTCCTGTCCTCTATTTTCTTTTGCAGTTTCATTGTAGAACTGAAAGTGTGGGGAGAAAAATTAAAGCAGCTGCTCTTCTGAGACTCAATAGGAATTTTTTTATTGGGGAGTTTTTGTGAAAAACCATTTTCAACTCAAGTTAGTCTACAGTCATGACTAGTTTTATAAATAGTGAGGAATGTCCCCATCAAAAGCCAAAGTAAATAAAAATATGGTGAAGGTTCTGTAATGCCATGTATGTTGCATACAAGTTAGTAAAAGTACAATAACTTTCTCCATGCAGAACTTAGCATAAGTGAGCGCTCAAGTTTTTTTCCTGTGGCACAATACTGCCAGTAGTAGTATTCCTTCAGTTGTGTGTCATGCAAATCTTCCTTTTATGTCTGTGACAAGAAGAAAACTTTCCTTCACTAACAGAAAACAATTTCTTTGATGCACAGAATGTTTTTCAAAAATAATATCCAAAACTGCTAAACAGTGAATAACTTGAGTCAACATGTTGCCAAATATAAAAAGTCATGGAGAGTTGAAGGGAAGGAAGAAAATGGAAAGGAAACATTTTAGGTTGTAATAATGTGAACTTATACTATGTCTTTGTCCCTAATTAAAAACCGTCACGTGGAATTTCTGTATCTGAACATGTAGAATAGAGTTTTGTGGTTTATAATCTCCTTTCTATTAAATATTTTCTTTAGAGATAAGGCAGGTACATTTTGGTAAAATGGAGAAGCAAATACTGAGGGAAGAAGGCAAAGCTAAAGACTCCAAATCAAGTCCTGAAATTTGGAGAATAACAGTGCCAATCTCTACCTGAAAGTTTTTCTTCATGAATTTGATTCTTCTAGATATTAGGTTTTTTGTCAAATCTTTTGTATTTATTAGTGAACAGCCACATTTAAAGAGACAAAGGCTAGCAAAGCTTGACTGTATTTGAAGTCTAGTATCTAATCCTAAACCATGTGCTGCACTCTTAATTTTAATAATCTTAGGGTTCTGCCAAAATGAACAATTTATACAGGTAGAAAACCAGTTGCTTATGTGATGCTGGTCCCGAGACTGTTGCAAAGAATGCAAAGGCTTAGGCAAGACTCTTCCTTGTGCCTCAAGTTAATCTCTGCTGTTCTGAGGATGCATCTCTCTCATTTTAAATCTCTGCTGAATTTCCCTTCACAGGGCAGGGCTTGTGAGCTTGCTATAAACCTGCAGGCATCTAGAAGTTATGGGTGGGTTTCTTTTGTGAATGAAATCCAGTCATCCGGGACAGAACCTATAAGGGCTAGGCCAAAATTTAGTGAAGCTGACATTTTCTTACCCTCAGAAAGTTTGGCTGATGTTTCAGTTCTCAGGATCAGCTGGGGACTGGGAAGGGGGTGATTACTGGCGTGTTTCACTAACTGTAGATCCCCCACACTTGGCAAAAGGACCTACCCTAAAACCTCACTTTTTATTCAAATTGGACATTGATGGAGAATCTTTGGCCTGCCATTCAGCTGACAAACAAACTACAAGTGACTAACATGAAGAAAACATCTCCCACTGTGAATTACTTATTTCCAAGTAACTTGGGGGAAAAGCTGTTCTTTATTACCGAACAATTTGCTTTTCACTTATATTCATCAATGCCCTTCATAATTTTGGAATACAACTTAATGAGATGCAGGATTGACATAGGTGCTGGAAGCCTCCAAAGAGCAACCTCTTGTTTTCCCTTCCAAGAGCAGAAATTCTTTAAGGTTGAGTTTAAGGTGGCTCAGACTGGTAAGCCTGATGCCTATATGGGGTGAATTAATGGAAAAGATAATAAAAATTTAATTAGATACAAACTTTTGGTTGAATATGATGCTTTAGGGAAGAACCAACAGGGCTTTTGTAAAGCGAAGCCGCACTTCAAAAACCTCTTGGCCCAGCTGACAACTTTGTAGAAGAAATATCTGTCAAATGCTGTTGAATACTGATACCAGATTTTAGTTCAGGAAGCGTCTGAACTGTGAACTGTTGAAAAAAATCCTGGTAAAATTTCATTATATGCTTTCTCTGCTTTTACCCTCTTCCCTAAGCACCGATAGCTGGCCACTGTCAGGAACAGAGTGCTAGGTTGGACCTTTTGAACTGACTCAGTATGGCCATTCTTATGTTCTTATGCTACGTTGATAAGTACTCTTTATTGAAAAAAAAAAAAATTTATTAAAAGACCAATTACAAATGAGATTTTTGCTGTACTGTGCTCGCCACCTGTGTGTTGTGTTCTTTTCATTTTCTGTTCTCCTCCTTACTTTTATATGCAGGTGGACAGGCACAGCACAGTAGCTCCAAGTCCTTGTTTGTCTCTGTCGATACAGAGAATCATGCTTAGGGATGCCTGTTGCAGTCTGACCTTTCTTGCAAAAACTTAGTCCACCCTTACTGGTTAATCACTTGATACGTGGTCATGAACTCACCTACTATGATTACAGTAATGGTCTCTCGGCAAATATGAGTATGTTTTACTGTATAATTCACTGCTGTCAAATAAAATATGGAAATAAAACATCAGAAGACTGATTTTTAACTTTTGCTCTGCATATTTCATGCTGTCGTAATCGAGGGCAATAAATTTTATCTCTATAAATAACAGTAATAAATGTTTCTTTCCTAGGTGTGCCTTGCGATAGCTCATTATTCTCAGCCAACGGATCTTCAGCTTCTCTTTGCATTTGAGTATGTTGGGGAAATATATCATGATCCAGGTAAGTATGAAAGTATTTTGATTTTTTTTTTCTTTCTTAATAATACGTAATTTTAGTAAGACTTCTGTCTAGAAGCAGTGGTAAAAAGCATTTGAGGCTTTCTCCAGGGGTAATAAAATTGGCTCGTCCTGCACTCAACCTCTTACTTTTGGTTATAAGTCATTCATTGTGATAGACATTAACAACCAATATAAAAAAAAAAAGTCTTTCCTGTCTGAAACAAAACAAAACTACCTATGTCAGCACTTATGTCAGCATGAATACTCATATTTCTCAATTCACGCTTCGATCCTCCTATTGTATGTCTATATTGGTACTCTAGGTACCTAGCTAATCTCCCATCAGGCAGGCTTGTTCACCTGCCCTTCTTTTGGGAATAAGTTTCTCTTCTGGTGGTATTGCAGGAGGATTTGTGCAACTTGGGACTCCATACCTTCTTTCCTAGAGGCTTACTAGGCAGTTCTTACCACTCAAAACCTCCACCACCCCTGCTGAGTTGGAGCACACCCTCTCTGCTCAAGGCCAATCTCCAACTGAACCTTGTCAGTTAGGTAAGCCTGAAAAAGATGCCTTTGGAACTTGATTTCTAGTGTAATGCTGTGCGGTCACTGCTTAGTGTTCCCCAGCCAATACACAGCTGAAAACCATCAGTTCTAGTGTAACAAGCCTCCAAACAGAGAAAGTGCCATTGATGTAGTTCTGTGGTACTGAAATATTTACTCAGCAGCTGGCATTAGAAACCACTGATCTGCCTGTTGCAAAATTTGAATGTTGTGGAATTATGAGCTCAGGCCTTCAAATTTGCACAAAAATGCGTGTTTTTCATGCAGGTACCTACATGACTGCCCTGTGCATGCACAAGAATAAGTGTGCATGTGATTATGTTGCCCACACAGTTACACGTATAATTTCTTACCTGATAAAGCTTGGGCGGTTATTAAGGTCCATGTACTTTAGCGTTATAAAGTACTAGGGAGGAAGCCAATTTGCAGATAAAATTACAATAAAATGTTAAAGTGGAGTGTGAACAAAACGTTAGTCTGTCACAAAGTTGCCTTTACTCTGTCCTTAAAATACCATTTGCTGTATGGAAAAATACCTAGTGGACGAATTATATAAGGTGGGTAAAAAATGTTGTTCCTCTGGAGCAGCAGACCAGAATGGCAAAAGATAGTTGTTCTGCTATGCTGCAGATGCTGGAGAAAAGAGTTTGAGATACGTTTGGTTTGGGTTGGGTTTTTTTTGTTGTTGTGAACCCTGGTGTTTGTAGCATAGATCTCTGGCTTTGCTCTTACAATTCCAGCACTGTGTTTTATGACTCTCTATCCCTGCTAGTCCCAGTAAAGTAAAAGTTGAAATACTGTCTGTGTGCTTCTTGAGGAACATAAAGAGCCTGCATTGCTCTGGTGTGTATGTACATCATTTTTTCCCAGGCTATATTTGATAATTATATATCCTGCCATTGAACAGTAAAATTATACCTTTTTTTGTAACTATCATATTTCTCTGTATACTATCGTTGAACAACTACTTCATTCTGATTTTAGTCTAGTTTTCTTCTGAAAAACATAAGTAGTCCAAGTACTAGTGCAAGAATGAAGTTGATAGATACAGAAAGTAGAGACTACCCAATCACTGAGATGACAGTAGAGCCATAACGCTGTATTCTGCTTTCTTTGGGCCGGCACTTACATCTTTACAGACTCTTGCTAAAGCTAGGAGCTTTCATGGGGGAGGTAATAGGGTTGAGGCTCAGTTTATTTCACTTTCATCGAAAAATTTACTTCAAGTATCAAGAAACAAGATGTAGTCTCCTTTGATGCAGCTGACTGCCTCCTTGGCACCTAAAGAATGACCAGCAAAGGAGATCCTTCTGTATTAGTAACAGACTATATAATCTTCTTGGTCCCTAGCCACAAAATGGTAGGCCATCTTTTTGTGTGGATATAAATATATATATAAAAAAAAAATATATATATATTTTAACCTGACCTTCAATTTATTTTATTTGCTGTTAATACAGCAGTCATTTAAAGCTGTTGAAATTACATAATTTTTATTTTGCTTTCTTCATAAGGTACTTAATTAAAGGGTAGCCTATAAAGGGTTCATGTTTTTAAAACATCACTAACTTTGGCATGGTGAAGAGAGAAATCCTGTGACTGAAGATAACATTCGTTCCTGAGTGTTAGCATGTCTTGCTTTCTGTCAAGCAGCACAACATACCAATTTTAAGTTGCTTCTCTGTTGAAATTGCAGGGAAAAATACATTTACATCTTCATGTTTTGCCAAGCTGTCATTAAATCACTGATCTGTTGTAATACAAAAATAGGTAACGTTAGTCCCGATGCTAGTGGCTCATTCTTGTAATTAGGAAGGTGAAGAGTTTGGGTTTTTTTCTTTTTTTTATAAATGTGCATTGATGAATTTTCTTTTCCTAGCAAAGAAGGTGAATGGAATAGACCCAGGAGGTGGTGGTGGTGGCATCGGCAGTGCCAGTGGTCAGCAGACACCTTTGTTTGAAACTTACTCTGATTGGGATAGAGAAATCAAAAGGACAGGTGCATCAGAGTGGAGAGTTTGTTCAGTCAATGAAGGTTATATGATATCTACTTGGTAAGTTTCTCTTATAACGCAAGTAGAAGAAAACAAGGCAATTATACTGTCTTTTCCTGTCTCCTCTACCAAAGCCTCCATCCTACCTAACTGTGCACTTCACCTCTTAAATGTGCCACTCTCTGGAGAGGCCCTCAGCTGAAAGATCCTGCAAGTGTTGTCATTAAAGGAAATGTCATATTTTGGCATCTGTTGCTTTCATGCTTTTGTGCTTCCCTCTGAAACATGCACGTTTCTAAACAAATACATCTGAGCTGTACCAATGATATGTAAGATCATGCAGACATACAGGACGACCAGTTAGCACTGCGGTATTAGGGGCTGGTGCATTATAGTTTAAGAGACTTGGTAAGACAGCATTGCAACAAGAGAAAAGCTGGTAAAATACGTAGGGAAAAGTAACTTGTTGTATCATATTTTTTCCCCAAGCCTTCCAGAATATTTTGTGGTTCCATCTTCCTTAGCAGATCAAGACCTTAAGCTATACTCCTACTCTTTTATTGGGAGACGAATGCCAGTAAGTGTAGTCTTTATTCTGTTACTGTTCTTGATCATTGTACAATATTAATCTTAAGGATATGTATGCCAATTAACATAGTTTTGTGTGTAGCATTAAGAAAAAAATTTCTATGGAATAACACCTGCATTATTTTGTTGTTTCTTCTGTGGTTTTTTCCCATATTAGTTATGGTCCTGGAATCACCCTAACGGGAGTGCCCTTGTAAGAATGGCCAACATTAAAGATGTATTGCAACAAAGAAGAATTGATCAAAGGTAAATGATTCATTATGTTATTCTTTAATCAGACGCGTAGGATAACACAAGTGGTGACTGCGTATAAAATAGAAAACTTTTTTTTTTTAAATAAAATGCATGTTTGCTGTGGTTTTAGTTGTTTGCCGTTAAAGACTGTGGCATGTTTCTTGAAAGACTGTTTCTCTCCTCTCCGATAATAAAATGGCTGATTCTTTTTCTTACTTAGGATTTGTAATGCAATAACTCGAAGCCATCCCCTGAGAAGTGACGTCTACAAATCTGATCTGGACAGGTGTCTCCCCAACATCCAGGAAATCCAGGCTGCACATATCAAACTCAAACAGCTGTGTGTTAATGGTATGCTGGACTGTCCTTTCATGGTGGTTATTTTCTTGAAATACAACAAATTCTAATAGATCTGGCTAACAGGAATAGTTAGTTGAAGTTGTTCTGCAATGTAATTACTTTCCTTGTTGCAGAGCCTTTTGAAGAAGCTGAAGAGAAGTGGCTGTCCTCACTGGAAAATACTCACTGGTTAGAGTATATTAGGTTTGTACCATTAATAAAATGATGGTTAATGAGAGGTGAAAAACTTTCACCAGCGTAAATAAGCAGTGAATCAGTTGAAGGATTCTCTATTTTAATGTATGAGTTATGTAAATATAGATATCCTGAATATTTTTTTCTTCTAGAGCATGAACCTGTTATATTAACTATTGTATCACTTTCTTTTCCTGTCTAGATCGTTTCTTAAGCATTCTGCTGAGCTTGTGTATATGATGGAGTGTAAGCATGTTTCTGTAGTTCTACAAGGTAATACAACCATATGGCATGCTGTAATTCTTAGCATTAGTATGATAATGTAGATAAACACATTTGGATAAAATCAGCTGTAATGATTATATGTAAACCCCATTGCTTCTACATATTTTAGGCATTTGAGGATCTAGAAAGAAAAATAATTTTGTTATGTATCTGAACTGTAGTATAGTCCGTAGCATCAAAGGAATATTTTACTTTGAGTCTTTGTGGTTTTTATTCTGGTAATGACATGATAGAATCAAAATTTAGGGTGAATTTTGTACTGTGTTAACTGGGCTAATACTCCATGCATAAGCAATATCAGTTTTATTCAGAGGTCCTACATACAAAAGTATTTCACTAACAGTGGCTGCTGTTGTGTAAGTGCAAACAGATATTCCAGAAAAAAAAGACACTGAAAAACTTGTTCATATCGAGATCAGAAATTTTGTAATTTCTGTAATTTTTACAAGACCCGTTCAGCTGGTATATCCCACTCTCCCTGTATAATGGCCTTCCAAAAACTGCTTCAGGGTGGAAAATATGTTGAAAATTTCCAGCAACATGAACACCCTCCTTCTCAGCATATCTTGGTTGAAATGGCAGGCATTTGGGTGGGTATTTTATTCTTGATGAATGCATTGTTGTGCTGGATACTGCAATAACCTTTTCTATAGTATGAGTCTCAGTTAAAAAAAAAAAAAGGTGTTTTTTTCTTCTAGCGTTTTTTGAAACTATGAGAACAATTACAGCAGTAAAAAGCATGTTTTAAAAAGGAATTCAAAGAAAAACACTAGACCTACTTGCCACTTTTTGCTCTTTGAGATCTAATTCTGTATATGTGCATATATACCTTATATATTTCATACGTTCTGTATGTTATTCACAGAGGAAGAGGGACGGGACCTGAGCTGTCTTGCTGCTTCTCTCATTCAAGTCATGCTGGATCCCTATTTTCGAACAATTGTTGGATTTCAAAGCTTAATACAGAAGGAATGGGTCATGGCAGGATATCAGTTTTTAGATAGGTGTAACCACTTAAAGAGATCTGACAAAGAGGTAAAAATGAATTGTATTTGTATGTGATAACAGTATTAGGTTAATATCAGCCTGAACGTTTATTCACACAAAAACCTAAGGGTAAAAATATTTTTTTAATACTTTCAAATCTCATTAAACTAATGTCAGAGAAAATTAGTCTTTGTCCAGGATAGAGGTTTTTCTTTTTTTATCCTCTGCAGCCGTGTGAGAATGAGTGAAACACCAGGTGCGATCAAATGCTGCTGGGGTTTTATGTTGCTTCAGTGTCATACATGAAGAGGTCCCACTGTTACAAATGCTAGCACAGCCCGCATTTTAAATTGAAATAAAAGGGGGGTTGGAGGGGGTGGTTTGTGTTTTTTTGTTTTACCAAGGGCATCTGTTTTCATCCCCCTTTCTCTGAATGCAAAGTCGTATCAATATGCAGTACTTTTCAAAGTATTGAGCTGATAGAGAAGCACTGTAGCTTTATGAACTGATACACAGCTGCCAAACAGATTAACAGAGGGTAGCACAGTGCTTGATTTTCAGTATTTCCAGCTAATCTTATGTGGCCTCTTCATTGCAAAGGAGAGACTTGTAATTGCAGTTGGAAAAATAGAGGACCCTAGGTTAGCAGCCTTTTTCAGGGACAGTGCTCAAGAGTAATAGAAAAGCAGTATCTCCAGAGAGTGGAGCCAACAGATGAACTGAGGACAGTGAGCACTAAGCAGAGAAAATGCATGAAGGGATAAAGAAACTGAAATACCAAGGGGGAGATAATGAGAAAGCAGATATTTTGACCCTAGGAAAGGATGTATGGAAGAGTGAAAGTGGGAAGAGGAAAATATTTCTAAAGCTTTATATAAATGATAGTTTATACTTTTGCCATTCATGGGCCACTGTGGAAAGAGCTAGAAAGTGTAGTGAGAAGTTAACATGGCTGAATCATAAGCTCTCCAGTCATTTCAAACAAGAAGGAAGTATACACATTGTGAAAATAAGGCCAAGCAGTAAGGAAGGCTCGTACACGCACTAATTTGGAAATTATGAGGGACATACAAGATGGCAGAAAGCATTTTTGCAGCTATACGAGTATGAAGAGAGCCCAGGAAAGAATTGACTGGCTTCTTACAGAGAAGGGAAAGCTGTGGAAAGGTAACGCTGAGAAAGCCAGTTGACAAAGTTGCTTGTGAAAGTGGCTAAACAGGAATACAGGGTGTTACAGTTGCATAAAATCATAAAAAATACAACACTCCAAATTGTTTACCCTGTTGAGGAATGTACCAGAGGTGTAGCTAAATACCCTAATGGACCACTAACTGCAAAGAAATTGATATGACTTGGGAAAAGCTTATGTTATATCTAATAAATCTCTGTTTCTTTTCCCAGTCTCCTTTGTTCTTGATGTTTCTTGACTGTGTTTGGCAGCTGCTAGAACAATACCCAGCAGCCTTTGAGTTTTCTGAAGTGTACTTGACCATATTGTACGACAGTGCACGTATCTCATTGTTTGGCACTTTCCTTTTCAATTGTCCTCATCAGCGAGTAAAGGAAAGCACTGTGAGTATGAAGTGTTACACCTGCTTTTCAAATAAGAGACTTCAGCATGCCCTTCTGGAAATAACATCATCTCAGCTAAATGGTATTCCTTTGTATTTTTCAAAATGTCACGCTCTGTGGGGCAAAATATTCAGCTCCCCAGATGAATATGATCAGAATGTCCTTTCAGGTGATCTTTGCATAGACAGTAACTAACTGTTCAAGAAGAAAGTCTATTGAATTTTTTTTTTCCCTAGAAAAGCAATGTTATTGTACATTATTATTTGTACTCCTCTAGGAAACAGATTTATATCTGGAACTGATAAAGTAGAATGACAGGCAATAAATAGAATTTCACGCTTCAGGCAAACTTTGAAATCTCTTGACATAATTGTTTAAATAGTTGAAAAAGTTGGGAAAGACTGCGTAAAGTTCAAATAGGAATTTCACGTTCAGGCAAACTTTGAAATCTCTTGACATAATTGTTTAAATAGTTGAAAAAGTTGGGAAAGACTGCGTAAAGTTCAAATAGTCATGCACAATGAAGGTATTTAGAAAACTGAACACTTAAATTTGTTTTTGAAAACTGGAGCTTATTAGAACTGTGTGTAGAAAACATTTGATGGCTGATAAAAGTAAAACTTACTTATTTTGTTAAATGTTTTCCCTTTAAAGTTGTAGGTAGCTACCTGACAAAGAAGTAGAGCATTGAGGGACCATTAGTGTATTCTCAAAATAACAGTTGGGGGGGTAAGAGTAAACAAACAAATGATATCATTGACAAGTGATTTTTGCTAAGTAAGCATTAGTCCTGCCTCTGCATTGCACAAATGAAAAACAGGGTGCAGCTGTTTTCTCCAGCAGCAGACTGTCTTGCTGCTCTGTTGCTTTGATCTGCAGCCACCTCTAAATTGTATCCCTGCTCTTCTTTGCCCAATAGTTATGCACTGGTTTATGATTAAGATTTGTGAATAAGCCTATTTTGTTTGATTTTTAATATGCCTGAATGTTAACTTCTTGCAGGAATTTGCCATAAGCAAAAATATTCAGCTGGGTGATGAGAAAGGCCTCAGATTCCCTTGTGTTTGGGACTGGTCTCTTCAGTTTACAAGCAGGGATCGCCTGCTCTTTCACAACCCTTTGTATATTGGAAAGAGTGCACCGTGTGTACAAAACGGAGCAGTGAAAACTTTTAAACGCTCAAAGGTAACTATAGTGATGTCTGTCTGTGAATGGACTGTTTCTGTGCTTAACCATAAGGTGTTAATGCTTAAAAATTTACAGTTATGTAGTGTTTCACACCCTCAGTTTAGCAATAGGAGCGTTAATTCTCTTAGCTTCCCAGCCAAAAGAAATGATTTTCTGTAGAAGTAGATGTAAATTGTTGAGCCTTGTGTTCCAGGACGTTTTCTGATATGGCTGAGCTCACTGCCAACATCTGCATTACTTCACCTATGGAAAAATGATGACATGCCACTTTTTCCCCCCGAGGGTTGTCAGTTTTTTCAGTGAATACTGATTAATTCAATCATTCGTTGTTTTAGAAAGTGTAGAAAACATGTATTTCTTTTTAAAGGCCACAGGTGGCCACACTGTTTGCCCTGTGAGCCCTGCAGCAGTGACTCACAAGCTCAGAGCTGCTTAAAGGTCACATCGTTTCTCTGGATGATGCATCCTAGCAGCTCAGGGGAATCTGCTATTCAAATGAGCATAAAACTGGAAAATTACCTGTATTTATTTTCTGCAGAAAAACTACAGCTCCACATTGCGAGGTGTCCCCCCAGCATTAAAAAATGGAATCATCAGTGAGCAAGAGTTCCTTCCAAGAAGAAACTCTCTGATACTAAAACTGAAACCGGACTTTTTGCAGCAAACAGAGAGTCAGAGTAACAGTATGGAACAGTACTTCAGAGACTGGTTTGCAAAGCCTGTTGATTTGCACGGCGTAATTCTACCCCGTATCTCTGGAACACAAATAAAACTGTGGAAACTGTGCTACTTCCGCTGGGTTCCTGAGGCCCAGATTAATCATGGTGGCTTCATCACTGCTTTCCATAAAGTTTCTTTGCTGGCAGATGAAGTAGACATGTTAAACCGGAATCTTCGGCAGTACAAAAGCAACTCTTCTTTGCAAGGCAACTGCTCGGAACTGGATCAAAGCAGGATGTACTTCAGAGCAAATAGTTTAAATGACACCTCTGGGGCCCCAGACTTTCTCTCCTCCTCATTCCCGTTTTCTCCTGTAGGGAACCTATGCAGACGGAGCATTCTGGGAACACCTTTAAGCAAATTTTTAAGTGGTGCCAAAATCTGGCTATCCACCGAGACGCTTGCAAATGAAGACTAAGATGATGTGACGGTTTAAAGGTTTGGGGAGAATACAGCATATCACTTTGTCTTTTCTAAGTTAACACTGCTAAATGCGGCATTGAAAGCTGTAATTTTTATATACAAACATTACGTAAGTTTTGCACAAATATTTAAAAGCAAAGCGAGTCATGCTTCAAATCGCACAATTTTGTCTTCAGTAGTTCTCATCTGCTAGGGCTTCTGGTCCCTAATTCCTTCTGTGTTTTTGTGGTTTGGCTCATTATATGCGATGGAGCATTTCATTAGCTAATTTGAAAGGCTTGGTGTGGTCATTAACGAGGGTTCTGCTTGAGAGAGTTTTTTTCTCAGATAGTGACTGAAGTGACTTGTGTCAAAACAGCTTGGCAAATCAAAGTAGTTAGGTGCAGTGGACACAGACCGACAGCTGAAATCTGGGAACAAACTATTTTATCAGATTGCCTCTTCAGGAAGAATACTTATATGCATACATACATACATACTGATGTTCTGTGACTTGATCACCCTACATATGTGTTAATGCAGTGTGTATCCATGGGGGGGTTGTTCCCTTTTCTTTCTCTCCCCAAAATGTACTCATTAACAATTAGTCAGATTTGTGCTCTTTGTCATGAGCTTGACTTTAGACTATAGGAATCAACTTCAGGACAATGCACTGTTAACCTTAAAACATTTACTGTAGATATGGTATTGTAGTAGCTTTAGAAGTGCCTTTAATTGGGAGGAAACAGTAGCAAGATTACGCTAATGCAGCTGACCCGCTCCCCCCCCAACTTTTTACAGTGGATTGTTATGGTAAGTTCTTGTTCCATCCCCCGCCTCCCCCTCTCCGTTTCTGGAAATAACAGAAGGCCAGCTCAAGAGACGGCAGGTTTTTCCTCTTTAAGGTTAAGCTTGTTTGTAAGTCTCATGAGAGCCTCACGTTTTTATATAAGCACCTCAAATACTCAGCATTATATCCCTGCATGGATCCTGATCCCTGCCGGCCCACTCCTCATCCTGTTGTAGGATGAAGTAGCTTTCAGCAGAATTCATATTTAAGTCCTGCTGGGTTGCAGAAAGGAGGACATGCTCCAAGTGGCCAAATCCACGAGGGGTGCTAGTGCTGTTGTCACTTGTAAGCAGGTGCTGGAAGAAGAGTGGTTAGCGGTGCCTTCTTTTTCATCCATGCATGTCCATAGGGCCAGTGCAATGGACAAGCACTGCGTGAGGGAGTTAAATCCAACAGCCTCCCTCTGCGTAATGCTGCAGCCTCCTCTTTGCTCTAAAACGTTTTAAATGATCTCTCTCCCCTGGATGCTGTGCCAGAAAAAGCCTCAAGTTTCATAGGGAGAAAAGCAAGAGAGTAAAGTGTACTGGGAGGGTGGAGGAATAGTAATGTGTCATTCTCATAGGTTAAGGCTTCTGTCGACTACCTTCTCTTAACAGCGGGGCTGTATTTTGTATTAACTGATTTCTGTGTAAAACACAAACGCTGTTGAACCAACACTGAGCCTCTATTCAGGTGTTGACTCACAAGTTAAGGCACCGAAGGCCTTATATGATAGACTAGAAGCTATTCTCAGTTATCGGGGGCGGGGGGGGGAAGCTGTATGATGATAATACATGATATATTCAAGTTAAAAAAAAAAGGCAGGGAGGGATAGGATTTGGAGCTCTTCATTTGTTTGTAAAACCAAACTGGTCTTCAGCACAGCCTAAATCACAATGCGGGTTTTGGATGTCTAAGATTGCTCAAGTATTTATTTTGGAGAATACGCATCTGGAGTGGCCTTATTAGGTGCAAGCTTTGTGCTAGAGAAGTCCAGTGCATACAGGACCCTGTTTTCCCCAGGCTAAAAATTACCTAACGTACACAGTGTTGGGGGCACTGGGTATGCTGCTTTCTCGCACCGGGTTTGGTTTGGTGGGGTAAGCGGGCAGTTTCAATGTAAAGGTGAGCTAATGGCGGGGGGGGGGGGGGGGGTAGATGTCCTTTTTTAACTAACCAACACTGAGCCTCTATTCAGGTGTTGACTCACAAGTTAAGGCACCGAAGGCCTTATATGATAGACTAGAAGCTATTCTCAGTTATCGGGGGCGGGGGGGGGAAGCTGTATGATGATAATACATGATATATTCAAGTTAAAAAAAAAAGGCAGGGAGGGGATAGGATTGGAGCTCTTCATTTGTTTGTAAAACCAAACTGGTCTTCAGCACAGCCTAAATCACAATGCGGGTTTTGGATGTCTAAGATTGCTCAAGTATTTATTTTGGAGAATACGCATCTGGAGTGGCCTTATTAGGTGCAAGCTTTGTGCTAGAGAAGTCCAGTGCATACAGGACCCTGTTTTCCCCAGGCTAAAAATTACCTAACGTACACAGTGTTGGGGGCACTGGGTATGCTGCTTTCTCGCACCGGGTTTGGTTTGGTGGGGTAAGCGGGCAGTTTCAATGTAAAGGTGAGCTAATGGCGGGGGGGTGGGGGGGTGTAGATGTCCTTTTTTAACTAACCAAACCCCCCAAACCCTCTTTTTATGCAAAGAAGCTGAGCGCGTGTGCGCGTGCGTGTGCACGTGTGCGTCTGCATGCGGACCCGCGCATGCATCTTACGACATAATGCCAGATTGGTTCTGGTCAACTGTTTGTGAGGAAAAAACGTGTATTCACCTCAATTGCCTAATTATGCTGCAAGATGGTCCGAGCATGTTAAATGGTCCACAAACAAGTTGTGTTTATTTACAAGCTTGCTGGAGCAGTCATCTAGCTTGTTCATCATTCAAATGTTTGTATTGGTTTGCTTTTGTGGTTTTTTTTTTTTTCTTCATTAGCTTACTGCTTTCCCTGGCCTGATACTTGACATAAAAGACCTCAACCTGTGTGCTTAGTGTCTTTTGGTACCACTTTTTTTTTCTTTTTAAAATTACGGTTAAAACTATGGTGTCTTTTTCTTTTTCTTTTTTTTCCTCCTTAAAAGTATAACTTTTTTGGTTTAAAGGTACCAAAAATGTGTAAATAAATTACTCCACACAGGCAGCTGGTGGAATAAAAAAAAAATAATGCTTAGGCTAGTACCCTTTGGGGGGAAAAAGTGGGTACTATATTTAAACAGGATTGCCTTTTGTAAGGAGATTTCAGACATTTTTACATTTCAGTTCTAAGATGTGTACAGCTGCTGCAGATGGTCTTTGTATTTTATATATATAGCATGGGTGGGGGTTAAAAATCATACGCCTTTATAATAAACAAAACCTGTCTAAATATCTATTTGCCAAACAGACTTAAAAAGAAATTTTACGCAGTTCAGAAAGGGGAGTTAGGCAAGCAGAGGCCGAGATGGCGAGAAGGACGGGGGAGGAGAGGCGGGGGCACCTCCTGCAGGGAGGAAGGGGAGCTAGCCACCTTTCCCTAGGAAGGTGGACAAGGTTCTGCTTCCTCCTGTTGGCACGGGTGCTGGCACGGGCCTTGCCTTCGGAGGAATTTGAACCACCGCTGTGTGTGCGCGCATGCGTGCCTGTGTATGTTGTTTCTTCCCCTGAAGTTAAACATCTGATTGTTTTAATTCACTTTTGGAAGACAGGTAGTAAATGTTAATTTTAAAATATTCTCCACTCTGCACAGTTGCCTTATCAATAGTCGGTAGGGACTGCTCTGAACATCTTTAATAACTTTCAAAAGCAATTTTGGGGTGCGAGTACGTATCTTTAACTTCTGTGTACAGAATACTGACATACCAGTGTATATATATGTGTGTGTGTATATATATATGTACACATTTTCAAATTTTAATTTCTGTTCACCATTTAAAACAAGATACTGTTAATGCCATTTTGGTGTTGCAAGAGTAGAAAAACTACCAAGAAGCTTATCTTTTTTTGTCTGTTTCTAGAAAACGTGCACTATTTTGGCTGTTACTGGCTGTTGTATCATGACTTTTGTACTACACTGTAAACCACGCGGGAGGAAATACGAAACGCTGGTTGATATGGTTAAAGCGTACCTCCAGTGTCACAAACTACTGCGAGGTAGAGCTTATTGTAGACTTTAGCGATCATGGTAGTACAACTTTACTCACCGTTTACTGCCATGTATCGAAGAAATTTCTTTCATTCCAGAAATGCATTGGAAAGTGTGTGTTTGTGTGTATATGTATACCCAGGCCTGCACGTGTGTTCAATGTGCACCTGCCTGCAATACCACTTTGATATTAACTGCCTTGTATTTTTAATGAAAATGTAGCAAGTGGGGCAAAGGTTTTGGCTTACTCTCAGACGGGAAGACATTAAAACCAAAAAATTTCTAACGTGTACTTAAGCAAAGGATGAAATCTTCAATTTGCCTCTAACATAAGAGAGAGAAATCTGTACCTCAAATTGCTCTAGGCAGTAGGTTTCTAATGCTGTTGCTGTGATGGTTTAGAGTTTGCTATTTCAACTGAAACTAAAACCTTTGTGCCTGATAATGATTTATTGAGTAAAGTAGCAGTGCCAGGAAGATTACGAAATCCTGATGCTGAGTTGTGAATGTGAAGTAAATTAGACGAAATAAAAGTTCATACCTTTCCACAGCAAACTTCAGGCGGTTTTCTTTCACCTCCTCTAACAAAAAAAATAGGGGGGGGTGTTTGTTTTTTCCAAGAAAAGCAGGGACACTGTGCTGTAGAAAGATGATTAATAAAGATGTGCAAATGATCTTAATTTCTGGCTACGTTCTATTACAGCGTCTGCTGTTTGTATGGTAAGCAGAATTTCAGGAAAACTTACTCAGTATGAGGATGAAGACTCCAGAGAAAAGATGTTGGCTCTGTGCTGAAATTGAGACAAACCCACAGGATTTTGGCATCTTAAAAGAGCACTCATCCTTTTGGGTCCATTTCAATTGACTGACTGATTTCTGAATGAGAAAACACAGCAATTGATGTGGGGCAAAAGTGACTATAATGAATGACACACCGCAAATGAGTGCGGTGATCTTGGCACTTGCACTGTCTACTCCCAGAAATATTTCCCCTTTATAGAGATAATACAGATAGTCACAACAGAAGGAGCTGTTAAATTATCCTTTTAGACACGGCAGCACATTAAAACAGCATTAAAAAAAAAAAGTTTTATGCCTTACTCTATGCCATCGTTGACGAGCTGTATTTTTTTTATATTAAAGCGAAAAACTGAAATACGTAATATGAAGTGGGGAGAGTTAGAGAACCACGCTGGTCCTGACAGTCCTGGAAAGGCACCAAACGTGCACCTTGTGAGGAAACGTGCACAACATCGTGAACTCGGGCTACATGGGCAACATGGAAATGATCAGGACTTGATGCACCACATTTTTTATTGTAGAGGATGTTCTCAGCTGGTACCAGTGTGATTGCAGCTGTTTCTGGGCAAAAACCCTGGATTACCTTTCATAGAATAAGTTATGAACTGTGTATAGAAGAGAAGGGCTTGCTTCTTTTGAACACAAAGTGACATCGTGAACTCGGGCTACACCGGCAACATGGAAATGATCAGGACTTGATGCACCACATTTTTTATTGTAGAGGATGTTCTCAGCTGGTACCAGTGTGATTGCAGCTGTTTCTGGGCAAAAACCCTGGATTACCTTTCATAGAATAAGTTATGAACTGTGTATAGAAGAGAAGGGCTTGCTTCTTTTGAACACAAAGTGACATACAGTAAATCATACTGACAGTCTTAAGCTATTTTTTAGAATGTTTTGTGCTAAAAATAACTACAGTAACGTTCCAAGAAACCAGAATTTTAGAAGAAACTACTTTTAATAAGCAGCAGCCAGTACTGTGTGTCATGCCAGTTCCTTTAAAAACACCCAAGTTACCCACGTGATCAAGGCCTCTACTGTCAACTGAGGCGTTTACTCTTGCCTCCGACGGCTTGCACGTGACAAACTTCCACTGTGGCACCCAGCTTCTTCAGTTCACTCAGCCAGACTATCTGCTTGTGGGACAGGCGATCGTTGGGACCTTTCACTTCCACCAGCTACAAAGAAATGTGGATGATTAGTAGTGTGCCTGGGGAGGAACGGAAAGATCATTAGCTCCCACAGACGAATGTAAGTATTCTTTTATGGCTGTTGTGTGCAACAGAAGTAATAGAGATTTAGCACAACGGAAGGCCCAGGGGGTGCTAAATTATTAACCCATGTTCCAAAGTTTAAGAGAATGAAATATGATATCGTAAATATCCACCAAAACACAGACGGAGGCACTGGTGAATGAAGATACCACATACTCAAAAATCGATTGTCTGCAACCTCACCTGTTCCAGCTGATACTGAGAGCAACTTATTCAGGTGTTCTAGAGAACTAATTTCTGCTATCCAGCTGTGTTTTATAAAAGTGTAACAAGTTGCTCCAGCAGCTGAGATGTCCAATAGTCTTCTAGTACCTATTCCACTACCATGCAAGACACAAACCATGATTGTTTACTCAATTTTTGTAGCGGAGACATAGTTGTTGTAGTCTCATATATTCAAGTTTTTGTGTAAGTGGTGACATTAGCACCCCTTGCTAACAACAGTCAGAATGTGTATGATTGATTGCTAACAGCTGCTTTACAGTAGTTTTAATTGAAGACCTACTCTGCAACAATACCTAGCCACCTCTTGCTGTTTCTCATTACGCCCGTTAAAGCTACAGCAACATGTGATGAAATACCAGGTAAACAATCACCCACTACTTGCCATAGCCGCTGGGCAGATGAGCAGCAGGTTTAACTTCACCACAACAGGAAAATACAGTTTGTACGGGCTGACAACTGGGAGGCTTTATACCTAAGGGTAAGCTCAGCTGAGCGCTATTTCCATGATCTCCCAATATACCTTAAAGTGATTAGTGTGAGTACGCCACACGACCAGGTCAGGAAGTCCCCCTCTGCAATGGCGTAGATCTTTGGAAAGTTGCCTAAAAACACCGCTCAGAAACATTCCTCCAAGGCAAGAGACAAGGCTCT